TGTTTAGATGGATGTAGGTATGAATGTACGGCTGTACGTGTGTATGTGTATATGTTCGTTCATGTGCAGATGCGTGTGTGGGCGCATGTGCGTATGTTTGTAGGTGTGTGTATGTGTGAATGTGTGCATGTATGCATGTATGTATTTATCTACGTATGTATGTAAGTATGCATGTATGCGTCTATGTTTGTATGTAAGTATGTGTGTATGCGAGCGTGCATGTATGCATGTATGCATGGATGCATGCTTGCATGTATGAAGGCACGCCTGTATGTATGTATGTGTGAATGTATGCATGCATGAATGTACTCATGTATGTTGTTGTGTACACGTGGACGTGTGTATGTATGGTCGCATGTATGTATGTATGTATTTACATGTATGTAGCGTACACGTGCGTGTACGCATGTATGCATGCTGAATGTAGGCATGTATGAGCATGTGAATGTATAACTTGATGTATGTGAGTATGTATGCTTGTATGCATTGATACATGCATGCATGCATGACTTTACGCATGCGTGTATGTATGCATGTATGTACGGATGTTTGCAAGTATGCATGTATGAGTGTCTGTATGTCTGGCAGGCTGTCTGGCTGTCTTTCTGCCTGTCTAAATGTATGCAGGTTGGTAGATCGTTGTGTACGTTTGTTCCCTCAACAAGGCTTGCAACTCGGGGTTTCTACTTGACTTTACCATCTCGGCACCAGGTGCGATTTTTGCGGGCGGTGCCGCCCGTCGCCGCCGTCGCCCTCGCCGTTGCCGTCGCCGCCGCTCGGGCCGAGTGGGGTTTTTTGCGGGAGGTGCCGCCCGTCGACGCAATCGCCATCGCCATTGAATGTATTATCCTTTTTTCGGGAGGTTCTACCACCCTCCCCCCCCACGGGGTTCAAGACCCCTTTTTTCGTTTTGCAGTTTACATGCGATTCTGCCCCATCGTCCCCCCTGAATTCACCATCCCAGGGGGGCCGGTATCGCCCCCCATCGCCATCCTATGCACGACATGCTATGCGCCGGCACTCGTTTATCAATAATCATAAAATCCAAAAAGAACCTGCAATACATGATACGAGGTGCGCACGCGCGCGTCGTCGCGCGCGCATGCCGAAATCTTCCGACGAATCTCGGTTCCGGAAGGATTTCAAAACCGAAACATGTACAAACACAACAAGGTTTCGCAAAACGGACTTTCAAACAAAAGCCACGTGCGAACTCGCATTCGCGAGTTCGTAATGAAACAATGTGTTGTCCAACTTTGTTTGGTAACGCGCTACCAAGCGGGCTTCTCGCGGGCGCATATCGATATCGTTCGAACGCCTTTGCGAACGTGCTGGGGTGGTGCGATGCGTGTCGAATAATTTCATGCGAACCACTCTCGCGCGTCTGCCGCGCGCGCATTTCGAATTCTTTCTAACGCCTTCATCACCGACGCGAAATAACCGTCATCGTCGCAGGCGTGATCAGCATCGGCACCGTCACTGGCTGCCCCGTCGTCGCCACCAGCATCGCCACCAGCATCGTTAGTATCATCATCGTGTATACCGTTGTCGACGTTGCCATGATACCGCGCCCACCCAAGTCGCCGACTCGCAGTGACCTGCCCGCTGGGATGTTCTGAACGGTCAACGCCGCCGCGTTCGCGTCGGTCGCGCCTAACTAGCTGGTCGCTGCGCGCGCGAGCATGCGCGGGCCAGCGCGGCCGCAAAGATGCACCAGCCAACGCCCAGCAGTCGTCGCAATCGCTGCCGCATGGGCTTTGCGAACCAAGCTGCGGTTAGGTGGGTGGGATTGTTGCGCGAGCAATGGAATTGACAACTTCCAACTCGGCAAATGATTTCTCATTTCGGCAAACAAAAAAAAACAGTCTCTATCACCCCCCCGAGTTGACGGTACACCTTCTCGTATTGCAATTTACATACGATTCTGCCCCATCGTCGATCCTGGAATATGAGTTTTTACTATCCCAGCCAGGCCGGTATCGCCCCCCACCCGCCATCGTTAGCAACAAGTATTATGCGCGCGTACTCGCTTAGCAAAAATCATACTTTTCCGAAAATCCATTGCAGCCGATGGATGGGACGAAGAACGCACGCGCGCGTCGTCGCGCGCTTGCCAGAATCATTGAAAAACTTCGGTGTCCAAGGATTCCGGCAAGGTTTCAATGATTTCGCGCTTGCTGAAATCCTTGAAACCTTGAAAAAAAACGAGCTTCCACAATACATCCAAAAACACCAGGTTCCGCAACGCGGATGTTCTGAAACAGCGTACGCGCGCACTCTTGCGAGATCCCAAGAAAACCATTGGTTTTTCAAGGTTTTCAACAATGCCACGCAACAGGCTTCGAGCACGCATGTCGAAATCTTTCAAACACCCTTGCGCGCGTGTCAAGACGATGTTGAGAACATCTCATGTTTGTGGAGGGTGTCCCCAGCGAGATGTAAAGTTTTATGCCGTGCTCGTTGGTCTGGCCCGCCGTGCTGCCAGGCATTTGTTGAGGATGTCCCAAGCGAACACGCCGTTTCCAACGTAAGCGGCAGTAAAACGCAACACATCCGTCGACAGCGAATTTGCGTGAGGATGTCTCAGGCGATACCAAATTTCTACATGTGCATGAATTTCGCTGCGATCAGTTATTCGAGGCTGTCTCGAACGAAACGCTTTTTCCTGCTAAGCGCGACGTCGCGAAGATCTCAAGAACGCGCGCCCCGCCAACCTGAGCATTCGCGAGGCCGGCCGCGGGGCCCACCCGCGCGCGTGCGCGCGCGAGGGCACCGCGCGCGATGCGACCACACTTTGGTGGGACTGGCGGCGAGCTGCGGGACTCAGAACAACGAGAACTTCAAGCGAGCCTAGACAGAATCAGTCACACAGGAGCCGCCCTTACCAGCTCGCGCAACAGTCGGCAACGCTCCTGGCTGACGCAGGGTAGGCGGGCGAGCAGGCAGGCAATGCGACAATCTACCTGCGGGTTGCAAGACCGAGCCGAACTCAAAGTCACCGCTGCAACGGCGCTGCGGAGGCCGAGCCAAACTCAAAGTCACCACGGCGGCACAAAGCCCCGAGGGAGGAGGCAAAGAGTAGGCGCGCGTGCGCAAGTGCGTAGCAAATCACAAAACTGGGATGAAAAACAATAACAACAACTACCCGCACTCGCCGTCGGAACAGGTCCCCGTCAGCCGTTGCCTGTCTTCGGCGCGTCCTGATGCGCGAGCGTGGGGGGCCAGACAAGAGGCGCATCGGTGGAAGTATACTCACGGAAGACGAAGCAGACTGCAGACCGCACGTAACTACGTAACTGCGAAGTCCTATCAAGTGGCCAGGAGAGCGCCGGCGCCGGACCCGGGTCAGGCGTACGAGAGACGCAGCATGAAATAGCGGCCAGGCCCATTAACAGTAGTTGCCGTGTGCATTTCGCGTGTAGCAGCAGCCGTACGTGTGATGTTCCGCCGCGATGAATATCGACACTGCGTAGCTTCGCCACGGTGTCCAAGCCCTCGAAGAGGTCGGCCTTGTCCCACACTCGCCCTCTGGCGAGGATGGCGCCGCAGGCGCTTTGGAAGCTTCGTATGGTGTGCACTCGCTCGCATCGACGATTCGAACTCCCGTTCGGCATTCGGCTCCACGAGGATCGTGCCGTCCCCCAACGATCGCCTCCGCACCAAAACGCCCAGAACAACAAAAAAAAAAACATCATCGCAGGCACACACGTCAAAAGTTCGTTACACGAATGTGTGAGTGCGTGGCTGCAACACGGGAAGGGCGAGTGGGACTTGCGACCCACTCAGGCACGGTGCGGGACAGAACGCATCACTTGGGCCCTGAAGCTTCGAATACGCTTCCAGTCATCCACCGACACATGTCTGCCGTCGGTGAGATGGCGTGCGAGATGATTGACTGCCCCGCTTCCCCTTTCCCCCTCCCCCAAGCTCCCACATCCCGTGGAATAAAGTGAAGCGGGGGCCGGGGGAGGGGGGAGAGACAGGCTAGGTGCGCTCGCGTCATATCTGTCGTCAAACCCCTCCCTCCCCAACCCTTACCATGACGCAGATCTCCTCCTTTTGCGCACAGGCTGATGTCGAGCAAGATAATGATCCCGAGAGGGTTTGCGATGCATGGTAAAAGCACGGCGTAGGTAGAAGAGCGCGGCAGAACATAGCACGGCTTCGATTTGCGTAGTGTAGCATCGCATCACAAAGCGTAACATCGCAAAGCATGGCATCACACAGCGGAACACAACGCAACATCGCATTGCATGCCATGGCATGGCACCGGATGCCTTGGAAGGTAAGTGGCCCGTGAACGAAAAGAGAATTCCTGTCCACAGTCCTGGCTCCATGTCCTGCGCAACCGTGCCTGCCCGATGTGGACGCTTTCGAATGGCAAGTGCCGTCTGGTAGGGGTACTGTAATAGTTTAAGGCCCCCCCCCTCCTTCTTTCGACACGCTGCCTTGCGTTCCCCGAGCCCCCTTCCGAGTCTCCCTGGGGTCCCCAAACAGCTCTGCACGAGGCGTGGCGGATAGCCCGAAGACTTCCGGAAGCTCCACGGAGCGCAGAGAAATTGCCGACGGCGACAACGACGCAGACGACGACGGCGGCGGCGGCAGGGGAAGCTGCGGCGGGCGAGGACGGATGTCAGGGGATAGTACGGCAGGCTGCTTGGTTTGATGGTCTGGCTTCTTTGCACAATCGGCTCACAGCGGGCCCCTCCCTGGGCCCCTCACGGGGTCCAGTCGGATCGGAGTTTTCCAGCTGGATCGTTTTTTGAAGTCCCCGAGGCCCATCGAGGGGGGTGGGGGGACGTCTGCGGCCGAGAATATCAACGAATCGATACCGAATGCGGAATCACTTCCAATGGTTTTATCGGGAGGGGGCATTTTCTAAATGTTGGCGCCGATTTGAAGGACCGAAACCATGCCGAGGCATGGCGCTGGAAATAATGACGCCAACGCTGCAGCGGGAGCACGATTCGGAACGAGCGGAAGCGCAGAAATGAGGCTAGCGCTGCAGCGGGAAGGAGCGGTAGTCCGAAAATGAAGCCAACGCTTGAGCGAGCAGTATTTTGAACGAAAAACCAAGCGAAAACCCGTCTCCCGGGAATCCTGTGTGCAAATGTATGAAAAATTTGCAGGGGGGGTGGGGGGGGCGAACATTTCCCGGACGTCACCAAGGGAGAGAAGGGAGCAATGCCCATATTTTGTAATTATGTATCCGGCCGGGCTCCCCTGCCCACCCCCGGATTCTGCGGCCTCAAGACGTTCCAAGACGGTCCCGAATCGCGGAACGATTGGCCCAAGACGCCTACGATGGCTCCAAGACGACCCAAGACTCCTTCGGGACGACCCAAGAGCCTTCCAAAGAAGGCTCCGAGGGGATCCAGCGCCGCTGGTGAAGCGTGAAACGCGCCAAGGAGGAGGGTCCAGCGCCGATCAAAGAAATCCGCGCGGAGCTTCGAAAGGTTGTGCCGATGAGATATTTTCTTGTTCGACACTTTGTGGCTCGAACGGACAGCGGTTAGGCCGACAGCGAGCCCTGTTCAAAGTGGTCAAGAACTGTCGTCGGTCTTCGTCGCATTTTTCTCGTAGCCGATCGCATCGACAATAGAAACCCCGCCCTGTCTTGAGGGAATGTTAGGGCTGGCCGGCAGCCCGCAGTGCTTACCGCTGGATATTTTTCCAGAAACAAGGACTGTCGATCGCACCGACCACGAATCGCCGACGTCATGTTTTTGTCCATACCGTCGACCCCCAGAGGTCTTCAACCCATTTCCCTGGACCGGTTTTTCCTGCCGAATCGTTTTCGGACGGTCCCGAGGACCGGCAAGGGCCCCCATGAGGCCGAAAATGGGGAAACTCATTCATTCCTGTTTGTTTCACGAGGCGAGCACGTCTGGCCTTCGACCGCGCCGACCCAAAAACCCAAACGCTGTCGTGAAGTGTCAGGGCCGGCCTGGCCCCTGTGCGCATGGCCCAAGGGAGGCAGCGCGTAAGACGAAGCCAGGACAAGGATAAAATCGGGTGAAGATAAATCGAGAATCTCTGAGATCTGGCTTCTCTGGAAGATGTATCGGGCGTGGCGGCCTTCCCAGCGAGTTCCAGGACGCACTGGGAGCGTTCCGGAACGCTCTGGAACTGATTCATGCTCGTCCCAGCCCCGCCCGAGCGCGTGCCCTCACCTAGACCGGCCTTCTCCCTTGGCGGCCCCGCCGCCCTTGCTGCCGCCCTTCCCTCCCTGTGCGCGCCCCCCTCCGCCGCCTTTGCAGCCCCCGCCGCCGATCTTCCCCGTGGGGCGTCGCTGGCGCTGCCCAGCGGCGCGCCGTGGGCGCCTCGTGCTCAGTCGAGTGCCTCTATCTCCTCGTCCGCCGGCTCCGCGGCAGGGGCTGCGCCTTTCGAGTAGGGGCTAGACGAGGCAGGACTGACGTGCCCCAGAATGTTATTTAGCTCGTCGGATCTTCGAAACATGTGGGGTCCTCCTAGATCTGCAATATCTCTACGTACCTTGTGGCAGGCTTGGACCTAAACGTTGCTTTTCGTTTTGGTTTCGTTTTGTTGCTCGCTTCGCCCTACCAGTTTTCCTTTGAATTTGACTCCCTGCCAAAACTAAATACAATCACACAGCCGAAATCCACGAAAACAGCGTTTAGATCCAGCCCTGCCTTTTGGAAGATCCGACGAACTCTTCAATTTCGCCCACCCCCGCTTCGACAACGACGACCCCCTAGCCCTCACCTCACCTTACTTGGCGGCGCGCAGAAAGGGGTAGGGGGAGGGTGGAGGGCTTCGTAGAAGGAGACTGCTTGTTAGAAGGTGCCACCTCACATCTCCAGACAAGGCCCGCGCCTTCTAAGAAACAGGCTGCTTATAAGAAGCCTTCCCCCCTCCCCCCACCTCCTTCTGCGCGTGGCAGATCTACGGCGAAGTCGTGTCGAGACGGTCCCAGCAGTAGTTTCTGACACAGCGTGGATAGGTCACCCTTGAACGATCGACGGCTTGTCGATCGCCAGACCTTCCCGCGTTGGCCGATTCTGCGTCGCTGGCGGCGTTCGACCTTGAACGTCCGCGGCGGGGTCGCAACCACGTCGCCACAGCACGAACCTCCCTTAACTGGGCGCCCCGCTTCCTCCTGCCAACCCCCTTGTCCACTAGGGCGCCACGTCTCCTCCTGCCACCCCCCCTTCGGGCCCCCCCCCTCTTGGGCCCCCACTCTCGCCCCCCCTGCTCTCTTCGACGACGGCGACCCTCCTACTCTGGAGTGGCAAACAGAAATCAAAGTAGATGGGTTCGGAGGATCGCGCCGCATCGCCGATGGATCGGAGATGTCGGCGATGCATCGGCGAGGCGGAATGACCCCCGACCGCTTCCAGTCGGACCCCGCACGGGAGGCCTGGAGCGTGGTCCACACGATCGGGTCATAGTTCGAGTCCCTCGATACGTTCGGGGCCATCCGCACACCCCCGGAAAAATCTCCAAGAGGAACTGCTGCTGGATAGTATCCGAAGGCGAGCGAAACCTCCAAGGTCTAACAACGCAGCCTGGTCATCACCCCCCCTCGACGACGTTGTAGTAACGGTCGTAGTAGTCGTAGCCGCAGTCGTAGTCGTAGTCGTAGCAGTAGTCGGAGCAATAGTAGTAATAGTAGTAGTAGTAGCAGTAGCAGTAGTAGTAGTAGTAGTAGTAGTAGTAGTAGTAGTAGTAGTAGTAGTAGTAGTAGTAGTAGTAGTAGTAGGAGTAGTAGTCGTAGTAGTAGTAGTAGTAGTAGTAGTAGTAGTAGTAGTAGTAGTAGTAGTAGTAGTAGTAGTAGTAGTAGTAGTAGTAGTAGTAGTAGGTAGGTGGTAGTAGTAGTAGTAGTAGTAGTCATAGTAGTAGTAGTAGTAGTAGTAGTGATAGTGGTAGTAGTAGTAGTAGTAGTAGTACTGGTAGTAATGATAGTAGAAGTGGTAGTAGAAGTAGCATTCGTAGTAGTAGAACTAGTAGTCGTAGTAGTAGTCGTAGTAGTAGTAGTAATAATAGTAGTAGTAGTAGTAGTAGTAGTAGTAGTAGTAGTAGTAGTGCTAGTAGTAGCAGTAGTGGTGGTGGTAATGATTATCGCCGCCGCAGTTGTAGTAATGGTAGTCGTCGTCACCGTCGAAGTAGGGGCCGTAGTATTTGGTCGTGGTACCCGCCGTAGTCGTATAGTCGTAGTAGCCGTCGTATTACTAGTAGTATTACCAGCAGTCGTAGAATCAGTACTAGTCACAGTAATCGTAGTAGTGGAAGTAGTGGTAAAAATACAGGGAGCAGATGTAGTCGTAGTAACAGAAGTAATAGTAGTAGTAGTAGTAGTAGTAGTAGTAGTAGTAGTAGTAGTAGTAGTACTAGTAGTACTAGTAGTAGTAGTAGTAGTAGTAGCAGCAGCAGTAATAGTAGCAGTAGCCATCATGGCAGTAGTTAAAAAAAAGGAATAGCAATATCACGTGTATTAAGAATATAGTCGGAGGAGTGCTCGTAAGAGTAGTGCCCAGACTAGAAAAAGTAGTGGTCATGATCGGAGGGTTAGTAGTAGTAGTAGTAGTAGTAGTAGTAGTAGTAGTAGTAGTAGTAGGAGTCGCAGTCGTAATCGTAGTGGTGGTGGTCGTAGTAGTAGTTGTAGTAGTCGTTGAAGCGACAATGGAAGTTAATAGGAAAAATAGCCGTAGCAGCTGTAATAGTGGTGGTAGTAGTGGAAGTAGTAGACGTCGTGGTACTGATAGTTGGAGTAATACTAGTAGCAGTCGAACTGATGATCGTGATCGTAGCCGCCGTCGTAGAAGTAGTAGTAGTAGCAGAAGTAGTAGTAAAAAATAGTAGTAATAGTAGTAGTAGTAGTAGTAGTCGTCGTAGGGGTACTAAAAACAATAGTATTACTAATACGAATCGTAGTAGTAGAACTAGTAGTCGTACTGGTAATAGGAGTCGTTGTCGTAGTAGTAGTGGTCCTGGTAGGAATGTTCGTAATAAGGATACCAATAAACATCGTAATGGTCGTAATCGTCGTCATCATAGTAGTAGCATCAATAATCGTAGCAAAAATAGACTTAGCACAAAACGAGTAGCCGTAGTGGTCGTAGTAATCGTAGTAACATTTGGGAAGGGTAGTAGCGGAAGTAGTGGCACGGATAGAAGTACGGATCTAAATGCTTGTTACACTCGTTGTAGTAGACGTAGTAATACCACTGATCATACGAATGGTGGACCTGGTAGTAGGCGTGGTCGCAAAAGTCATAATATTACTGATGCGCATAGTCGCAACAATAGTAGTCGTAGTAGTAGCCGTAGTAGAAGCATCGCCATGAATAGTGATATTAAAAGTAATCGTCGTAGAACAATGGTATTGGAGACCGTAGTAGTATCAGCAATCGTACTGGAATCAAAGGTGGCCGAAGTCGTCGTAGTGGTAGTAACCGTATTAGTCGTAATCGTAATGGGAGTGGCCGTAGTCGCGGAAACAGTAGTAGTAGCGGTGGCGCTGATAGTCTTAAAAATAAGCGCGGCCGGTTAGGGAAAACAAGCAGTAGCCATAGCGTTCGATACCAGAGGTATACGTGCCGTAGAAGTGCGATGTGTAGTGCTAGTCGTCGTAGTCGTGGGTGTTGTAGTAGTTATGGTAACAGTAGTGGTTGTAGAGCGGTCACAATAGTAATCGTCGTCGTAGCAGTCGAAAAAGTATTATGGGTAGCGGTAGTAGTCGTGGAAATAATCGTATTAATCGCAGTAGTCGTGGGAGTAGTCGTAGTAGTACTAGTAGTGGTAGTAGTAATCGAGACAACGATAATCGTACTACTACTACTACTACTACGACTACTACTACTACTGCTACTACTACTACTACTACTGCTACTACTCCGACTTCTACTACTACTACTACTACTATTGTACTAGTGCTGAATCGTAGTAGTAGTAGTAGTAGTAGCAGAAATGTTGGCAATAGTATTAAAGGTGGTGGTAGTAGTAACGGTAGTAGCCAACGCGATCGTAGAGGTGATAC